TACTCCGCAGTAGGCGTCAGGTTACATTATGTTGCATTCAATGTTGTCGGAAAAAATAGTTTCATGCGCTTAATGTCCGATTTGCCGTAACAATTTATTGAATTCATAGTCGCCAGCTGGGGTGGCAAGGCTCTCGTTTGGGGTGGCAACTGCCACCCCATGCCACCCCAGTAGATCCGCCCCTGCGTCGGAGGATGAGAGAAAGAGATGTGACCAGGGAAAGATTGATGAAGAGTTCAGATTAGCTGCTGCTGCCCTCTAGGAAGGAGTGGAAATGTTCATGAAGAGGGAGCGTTTCATCTGGCAGGAGGGCAGGTGTGTGTGTGAGTGAGTCCGGGAAGGGGAAGCCAACACTAAGCTAGCAGGCAGTCAGAAAAATACTGTGATAACACAGGAATGATGACGGCTCGTGGAATTAATAATGGACACTTTCTGAGATATTTTAGTAATAAGAATAATCGTGAATTTCAATAGAAAACGTAATAAGAAAGGGAAAATGAATAGAACAGTTAGAAGACAGCTATTGATACCATTTAAAAATGTTTAAAAATGACTTGACACATCTTCAATAAATACTATCTGGAGGAGTTGTAGCCAAAATGTGGAAATGTTCAATATTGGAAATGATTGCAAGAATGTTAGAGTTGTGTAGTTAACATTTGCTGTTAGTAATTACTTCAAGTGAACTTATTGCACTACACCTGTGTTAAAGTATCCATGCTTTATGTTAAATTATTCAGTATATGTACATATTATGGTAAACTTATCAGTAAATCGGTTTTCACGTATTTAAGAATAAATCATATATTTTATATAATTTGCTTGTACTGGTGGGATTTGTAATCGGGGGGGAAAAAAAGTGCTAGGCGAAATGTCTGAGTGGCCAGTAAAAAAAATTCTCCACCAGTCACTGTGGCTGGTGGAGAAAATTTTTAATTTCCACCCCTGGAGTATACACAAGAAAACTGTCAAGAAACACGTTTTACATAAAAGTAGTTTCCAGCATGTAGAGGAAATTTTTAGTGAAGCAATAATGAATTCAGACAACCCAGAGATGGTCCCTTTTTATTTCATATGACCATGAATATTTAAATTCATTTTTACATGGCAATCTTTGGTAGCATAACTAGTTATAGCTGCTCTTCAATGACCAAAGACCAGTGCATAATTTAGCTCTGAAAACAAATTAAAAAAAGTAAAAGAGTTAGATTGCATGCTGGCCTTTCCATTAAGCAGCAGAAAATATAGACTATATATAGAAAATATAGATACATCATGCAAAAAAACATGACAGGATAGGAAACTATAGATTTTGCAACATAAATGTCCTGAGTGCTCTGTCTTTGACAAAGTAAACATTCACTGATCCATGACTTTGGGTTGCAAAAAAAGCCCCATGATTAGTGTTTAAGCAGATAGTTATGTTTAGCCAGAACAGGAGCTAGGGTTAATCAAGAGATTGTTGTGTTCAGCAGTGGTCCACAGAATTAAAATGCCCATGATACAAAAGTAATTCTGCATTAGCATGTGACCATGAAGTTCAGGTTGAAGACAGCTGGGTAACATCTATAACAAAATGAAAGACATTAAAAATAATAAATAGGTAAAACTTTCAAGACATATATCACATCGTGCTGGGAAAAAGAAAAAGAAACTAAAAGCATTCACAAAGTAAAGTTAAAGCAATTTTAATAAGATGTTTTTCTAGCTACCTTCAAAAAGTAAAAAAAAGAAAAAAAAAAGAAAAGCTCTGGAGCATAATATATGCTTGATTGACAAAGCTTGAATGCCCCGTTTATGATAAAGTGTACAGAATTTTCCCATTTACTGATTATTATATGCTGTAATTGTCAGAAAAAAACTGGATTTAGTGCGTAAAAAATTAATTGGATGTTCAACAAATTTGGAATTACCTTTGTGGAGTGGAGGAGGCCGATTAGTTGTGACCACATTACTTTGACGCATAGCTTCAGTCATCCAGGAGAGGGCGCTGCAGCAGTAATCCAGCTGAGAGAGAGATGGATTAATACTGAAAAGGCAGAAATGACAGCTACACAGAAAACATACAGCATAACACATGCAGACATGGGCTGTTTAACCTTTACCAATATGAATATAAAAATACAAGCTAAAAACAGACAGGGAATAGCACACTGTCTGTATGGTCTTTCAATTATATCGTGTGATCAAGAAACTGGTAACTTGTGGAGGACATAAAAAGTATGTCTTCTTTAAGGTATTGCTGACCTGCGTCTCAAGTAGACGCAGCCTTCGGTCGTGGTCTCGGATTTCTGCCATCTGCTTCAGAACACTGTCCACCCTGCACAAACATGCATAAATATAAATTTGCTATATCAACTTTGATGGTGTAAACAGTCATGAAAGTATATTATTTTACACTTCTACTCTGTGCATACTAAACATGATGTTTGCCTTAATTTTTGCTCTGTACTCAAAAAAAGTTAAGCAGGAAAACCTTCAGGACAAACATTATGGCGATTAGGGAGGTGATTAAAATCTTACTGTCAGATTCACTTTTATTTCAATGGTAGTCAAAAAAAGCTGGAAATTTCAGTTGGGTTTTTTTTGTTTTGATTTTTACACAAAAAGCTCTGCGGGCTTCTGAAAATACATTTTAATATTTGCAAGTAGCTTATCTGCCATTAGATAGAGAGCACCTGTATCTAAAATAAAAGATGTGAATATCAGCTTTCAAGACAAACAAAAGCTATTTTAGGAAAATTAAATTTTTCATGTTTGTGTTTGATGGTTATTCACACAGAAAGCAAAGATAATATTTTTATGGGAAATAGGGGTAGGAAGCTGTGTGCCAATAAGGACTTTCCCACATGAAACAGGCACGGAGAATGAAAGAAATATGCTCCAGTGTGTTCTCAATAGACAGGTAAGGCCTCAGTACAATAAATTAATTTGTAAAAACTTTAGATATATCAAGTGGAGGACTTTGTAAAAAAAAA